GGAAAGGGGGAGAGGGGGGGGGGGGGGGGGGGTGTACAGGTGTTCTTAAGGGTTTATTTAACTTCTCATCATCCTGCTCTGATTTTGTTAGTAATAAATTAAACTAATTCAGTTGAGCCTGTTTTGCCCTTGGAGTGTTTTCTCCCCATCCCTATCTCAACTCATGAAGCCTTTGTTAAATTTTCTCTCCTCTGTCCAGCTGTAGCAGAGGAGGGTGAGTGAGTGGATTTTGTGGGTGTCTGGCATCTGGCAACTCCCAAATCACCACACAGAGTCATTTCATTTCCCAAAAGAAATTGTACTATGTCAGTGCTTCTCAGCACTGGCTAGCAATGTAATTATCACTAATTTTTACAACCTTCAATATCACTAGCTAAATTTGTCAATTTTTTCTTTGAACTACATCCTCAGTTATTTGGCTCTACTCTAGCAAGTTCATGAGGAATTGACAGAACTCTTCTAGTGCACTCTTCAGAGTCCATTGATCATGCCATACAGTTTTTGAAGGATAGATCACATAGATCTAGCACCACGTAGATGGTCATTCTTCTCGAGGACCTAAATTTTTCTCATGGAACTGGATTTCTTTTTAGGCACTTTTTCATATGCAAAAAAGGCAGGCAGAGCTACCAAACAATGGAGAAACAGAAGAAAACCAGCTGTAGCTTCACCACAGCTGTCTTCACTTCATCAAGAAAAGAATTTGGTGTGTTATGAGGAAATGAGTGCTGGCTAAGTGGTATGTTTCTGTCCTATGTCTTTGAAGCTTTATCAGAAGTCCAGGAAAACAGGAAAAAATCAAGGGGCTTTTTTGATGTTTTTGATTATATTTGCTCCTAACTTGTCCTCTTGTCTGCAGTTCGGAGTTTCTCTCAACCTGTCCACTTAATGGAGATTTTATGATACATCCAGTGAAATATTTCTGACTGACTTACCTCAGTGCTAACTGCTTCATCTGAGGGATTGATTAGGACTACAGTTTCTAAGACATCACTTCTGTGGTGAAGAATCTTCTGACCTGCAAGCACAGAGAGGAAAAAGAAGACATTAAATTCAACCAGCGTGGTTTAAACCAGTGCTTTCCCAGAGCTACTTATATGTTCCACTGTGACACAGCCCTAAGGTTACCCAGGACAGTGCACACTGGCCACAGCAACTACTGTGCTGGCTCATGTCTTCAGGAATACCCATGGCATGCGGTCTTATGGGCCAGAAATAGCACTCTCGAAAATTCATAGAATCATAGAATGGTTTAGGTTGGAAGGGACCTTAAAGATGATCTCATTCCAACCCCCTGACATTGACATGGACACCTTCCACTATACCAGTTGGTTCAGGGCCCCATCCAACCTGGCCTTGAACAATTCCAGGAATGGGGCATCCACAGCTTCTCTGGGCAACCTGTTCCAGTGCCTCACCACCCTCACAGTAATGAAAGTCTTCCTAATATCTAATCTAATCCTACTCTCTTTCAGTTTAAAACCACTCCCACCTCATCCTATCACTATTGATGCCATGACAATATTTTGCCTTTTATTTTAATATACCTTTTATGTATTCTCAGTATTCTTAGCATACATAGTTGTAATTTGTGAGGTGAGGGTCTGTAGTGATGTAGAGTCCCCAGGCAGGTACAAAGGAGAGCTGCTTTATTCCAAAAACCCGGCCTTTTAAAGCAATTAGCCGGTTATCAGCTACACAGTTTTAAATAATAACAAACATAATTCTACCAACCACCATACACCACGATGTGAACAAGGTGTTCTTAAGGGTTTATTTAACTTCTCATCATCCTGCTCTGATTTTGTTAGTAATAAATTAAACTAATTCAGTTGAGCCTGTTTTGCCCTTGGAGTGTTTTCTCCCCATCCCTATCTCAACTCATGAAGCCTTTGTTAAATTTTCTCTCCTCTGTCCAGCTGTAGCAGAGGAGGGTGAGTGAGTGGATTTTGTGGGTGTCTGGCATCTGGCAACTCCCAAATCACCACACAGAGTCATTTCATTTCCCAAAAGAAATTGTACTATGTCAGTGCTTCTCAGCACTGGCTAGCAATGTAATTATCACTAATTTTTACAACCTTCAATATCACTAGCTAAATTTGTCAATTTTTTCTTTGAACTACATCCTCAGTTATTTGGCTCTACTCTAGCAAGTTCATGAGGAATTGACAGAACTCTTCTAGTGCACTCTTCAGAGTCCATTGATCATGCCATACAGTTTTTGAAGGATAGATCACATAGATCTAGCACCACGTAGATGGTCATTCTTCTCGAGGACCTAAATTTTTCTCATGGAACTGGATTTCTTTTTAGGCACTTTTTCATATGCAAAAAAGGCAGGCAGAGCTACCAAACAATGGAGAAACAGAAGAAAACCAGCTGTAGCTTCACCACAGCTGTCTTCACTTCATCAAGAAAAGAATTTGGTGTGTTATGAGGAAATGAGTGCTGGCTAAGTGGTATGTTTCTGTCCTATGTCTTTGAAGCTTTATCAGAAGTCCAGGAAAACAGGAAAAAATCAAGGGGCTTTTTTGATGTTTTTGATTATATTTGCTCCTAACTTGTCCTCTTGTCTGCAGTTCGGAGTTTCTCTCAACCTGTCCACTTAATGGAGATTTTATGATACATCCAGTGAAATATTTCTGACTGACTTACCTCAGTGCTAACTGCTTCATCTGAGGGATTGATTAGGACTACAGTTTCTAAGACATCACTTCTGTGGTGAAGAATCTTCTGACCTGCAAGCACAGAGAGGAAAAAGAAGACATTAAATTCAACCAGCGTGGTTTAAACCAGTGCTTTCCCAGAGCTACTTATATGTTCCACTGTGACACAGCCCTAAGGTTACCCAGGACAGTGCACACTGGCCACAGCAACTACTGTGCTGGCTCATGTCTTCAGGAATACCCATGGCATGCGGTCTTATGGGCCAGAAATAGCACTCTCGAAAATTCATAGAATCATAGAATGGTTTAGGTTGGAAGGGACCTTAAAGATGATCTCATTCCAACCCCCTGACATTGACATGGACACCTTCCACTATACCAGTTGGTTCAGGGCCCCATCCAACCTGGCCTTGAACAATTCCAGGAATGGGGCATCCACAGCTTCTCTGGGCAACCTGTTCCAGTGCCTCACCACCCTCACAGTAATGAAAGTCTTCCTAATATCTAATCTAATCCTACTCTCTTTCAGTTTAAAACCACTCCCACCTCATCCTATCACTATTGATGCCATGACAATATTTTGCCTTTTATTTTAATATACCTTTTATGTATTCTCAGTATTCTTAGCATACATAGTTGTAATTTGTGAGGTGAGGGTCTGTAGTGATGTAGAGTCCCCAGGCAGGTACAAAGGAGAGCTGCTTTATTCCAAAAACCCGGCCTTTTAAAGCAATTAGCCGGTTATCAGCTACACAGTTTTAAATAATAACAAACATAATTCTACCAACCACCATACACCACGATGTGAACACACGATGGTTACATAACTTGTTTTTCTACCTCTAATTCAGCTGAGTCACTTTCCCATAGTCCTTTTCTGCTTAGATGAAGTAGCAGGCCTGATCCATGATTTTACAAGGCCTTCCCTTTCTAAGGTTTTACCTATATGCAACAGTAATTCTTTAGCCTGATATCTCAGCTTAGTCCTGGTATTCTACTAGGCAAGAAGACCAAACATCCTAAAGGCCTCACAGTTGGAGACTGGAAAACCTCACACTATCTTGAGAAACTAAGACTCTCTCTGGAACATATTTTGTAAACTAGGTTCAAGCCCCATCTGGGGGGAAATACTTTAGAATAGGGAGATGTCATGCCATTCATTTAAACATCGCATTTGGGAATCTTTGTCAGATATGCTAATTTGCAAGGTCTATAAAATTGTATATGTGTGTTTTGCTTTAAAAAGACAGGTGTCTGCTAAGGAAGGCAGAAGCCTCCCCTGAAATGGAAAATGTAAACTCCCTCCCTCCAAATTATGATAATTTTGAAATTAAAAGGCTCTCAGGCAAATATGTGGAAATAGGAATAACAGTTCTTTACTAGGAAAACTAAAAATACACATGCAATACAAATGTAATAGTACAAACATCAACAAAAAAAACACTGACAGTGTCAGAATACGACCTGACATCCTGTGGGTCAGGATGTTGGTAGCAGTCTGATTGGATGGGGGTTGCAGTCCTCCTGCAGTGACAGGTGTGGTTCTGTTGGAGCAGTGATCCCTTAGAAGGGTGTAGTTTTCCTCTGAAGGTCCGGTGGTGGTGTAGATGAGCCTGGTCTTCCTCTGGGAATCCAGTGGAGAAGACAGCTACTCCTCTGGGAATCCAGTGGGAAAAAGGCTGCTGTGGTGTCCCAAAAATCTCAGATTATATCCAGGATGGAATGCTTGGCTTCTCCCCCTGGGTGGAGCATCTCACAATGGGATGATGTAATTTTTATCAGTCATGCAGTGATACTCAATGGCTCATTAACAGAAGATATCTCCCTGGAGAGAGGATTGGTTTGTGGAAGAGCTAAAGAAAACTACCCAATTAACAGAAGATAACTGCCCCACCTCTAACAGATGGCAAATGGAATACACACATTATCTTGCAATCTAGGACAATGTGGTATACCAGGTGTGTGCATTTCAGTGTATTCCACCTTGACAAATTGTTACACCATAAGGATCCTTATTAAATACCAAGGTAAAAACCTTTTTATCCCTTAACCGGATCTGGCTCATAATTCTAGGATCAGAGAAAAAGGCAACACTACATGCCCTTGTAAAAAATCCTTCACCACTCCTCCTGTAGTCTCCCTTCAGGTACTGAAAGGCCACATGAAGGTTACCCCAGAACCTTTTATTCTCCAGACTGAACAGTATCAATTCTCTCAGGCTTTCATCAAATGAGACGTGCTTCGACCTTCTAATCATCTTTGTGGCCCTCCACTGGACTTGGTCCAACAGGTCAATGTCCTTACTGTGCTGGGGACCCCAGAGCTGGATGCAGTACTCCAGATGGGGTGGCTCAAGAGCAGAGTAGAAGGGCAAAATCACCTCATTTAATCTGCTGATCACACTTCTTTTGATGCAGCCCGGAACATAGTTGGCTTTCTGGGCTGCAAGCACACATTGATGGGTCATGTCAAGCTTCTCATCCACCAACACCCCCAAAAGTCCTTCTCCTCAGAGCTTCTCTCAATCCATTCTCTGCCCAGGCTGTATTTGTGCTTGGAATTGCCCTGACCCAGGTGCAGGACCTTGCTCTTGGCCTTCTTGAATTTCATGAGGTTTGCAGATGCCCATGTCTCAAGCCTGTCAAGGTCCCTCTGGATGGCACTCCTTCCCTCCAGCGTGTTCACTGCACCACAGAAATAGGTGTCATCAGCAAACTTGCTGAGGGTGCATTCACTTCCACTGTCCATGTTATTGACAAAGATGTTAAACAGCACCAGTTCCCATACCAACTCCTGAGGAATGCCACTTGTCACTGATCTGCACTTGGACATCGAACTGTTGACTACAACTCTTTGAGACTGACCATCCTATCAATTCCTTATCCACGGCAAGTGTTCCATCTGTCAAATCCATGTCTCTCCAGTTTTGGTCCATCTGTCAAATCCATGTCTCTCCAGTTTAGAGACAAGGATGTCATGAGTGACATTGTCAAATGCTTTGCACAATTTCAGAGGCAAGTATAGCAGTCTTGACCATGTAAATGTGCCTATTTAGAGCTTCATATGTGACTGCCTCCCTCTTCCACTCCTTGGCATATTTAACTTATTATCTTACAGGGTGAGATGCTGGTAGTTGATTTTTTGTAAGAGCAACTCAAGCTTATTGCTCAGGATGATACTCAGATGCTCAGCTGGAATGAAGGAAAGTCTCCCTCAGAAAGACTTTTATCAAACAGAAATGAAGTATAGTGTGGGAGTAGAAAGCAGCAACAGCCTTTTACAAGCTGGCAAGACACCAAGACTTATTAAACTACAGATGAAGTGGGAGAATCTGAGACATGCACAGA